CTGGGGTAGTGACAAGGACCAGGGGGAGACTGTCAGTCTCGGTGACGAGGAAGACCTGGACCGCACTATTGCGGAGGCTGCTGGCTTCGACCAGAAAGCCTTTATTGACGAGCACTACTCGTACGTGCCATCTTCCCCTTTACAGGACTCCACTGACGCGCCATCACAGTTAGGGCAGCGTAGTGTAGATCTTAATTTGAGTCCTGTAACATTGGCTTTAATATATTGCACTCATGCGCAAACTTATGCTGCATGTGCAAAATGTAAGGGGAAAGATAAGGCACAACAGGGTAACACCTGGATTCTCGACTCGGGGGCCTCTCGACATTTCACTTTTGACATGAGTGATTTCATCGACTTTGAGGAATTTAAGCAACCTGCGACCGCATCTACCGCGAACGGGTTTGCACGAATACTTGGGTTCGGTACGACGGTCCTAAATTATTATATCAAGGATGTCGGGAACATAACCACTCGGTTATTTCCAGTCTACTATATACCTGACCTGAATATTTGCCTCATGTCGCTCGGAGTTTTACTCCAGGATAAACTAAAAGTGTCTGGCAATGACCGACACATAAGTCTCTATGAAAAGGGATTGCGCGAACCTTTATTCAGGTTTTTACCGCGGCAGCCCGGCGACACTATCTATAGTGTCAGTACAATTCCTGCACCGGATGCGTACTCTATATTCCCAACGATCTATGCGGTCGATTATGGGATTATGCACCGTCGCATGGGACACCCCTCTAAGGAAGTCCTACGGCAAGCAAGGGAACACACCAAGGGTTTCCCCACCAATCTGGAGTTTCCTTCGGAAGACCCAGTATGCCCTGGATGCGCGGAAGGCAAAATGCCTTCTAAGACTTTCCCGCCATCCACTCTACGGGCAAAAGAACCGTTTGAGTTAATTCATTCGGATCTTAAGTCATTTCCCGTAGACTCCTACCACAAGTATCGGTACACAATCGTCTTCTTTGATGATTACACCTCCTATGGATGGGTCATGCATATGCGCTCCAAGGGTGCTGCAATTGCAAAGACTCGTCAATTTCTTGCCTACGTACAAAATCAATATGGCAGGAAAATTAAGGAGTGGATGTCCGATGCAGGGGGAGAGTATAAATCTGATGCGTTCATCGAGATGCTCAGAGATGAGGGCATAAAAATCTGACAGAGCGCACCTTATGCGCACCAACAGAATGGTCGCGCTGAGCGCTTTATTCGGACTATAATGGACAAAGCGCAGTCAATGCGGCTAGAGTCCTGCTCACCTCCATCTTGGTGGGAATTTGCGGTAGACCATGCCGTTCACGTCTACAATCGGACCCCTTTGAAGCGCCATCAATGGCAGACTCCTTATGAGGTCCTGAACAAGGAACCTCCCGACATCAAGCACTTACGTGTCTTTGGATGCGGAGCATATGTCTACCTGCATAAGGAAACCAGACCCAACAAGTTATCGCCTAAAGCTGAGCTGATGACTTACATTGGTGTCGCTGATGGCGGCCATGGCTTCAAGTTCATGCGCGCCAATAATAGTATAGTCACTCAGCCAACCGCGCTGTTTGACGAAGCTATGTTCCCTAAATGCCGTAATACAAAGCGACGGGCAAGCACTACGCTGCAAAGTGCGCCCAAACCAGCTGACAGTCAACCAGACAATTCTGATGATGACTGGATCACTGATGACGATGAGCCAGACTCACGTCCTCCTCCTAAATCCCAAAAGGGGCCAGGCCAGGATCGTGACGACGAACCTGCGCAGCCTGAGGCGCGAGAGCCTGAGAACCCGCCTTCTCCACCTCCGGGGGATCCTGCGCCACAAGATGAGCCGCGGAGACCGGTGAGAGAAAGGAAACCAGTAACTCGCCCGGGTAACATCTACGGTGAATCGCGGAATCCTGTAGAAACCTATCGTGAGATTGAGTCAGACAAGAAGTGGAAGGATTTAGTTGGCGAAAGACCTAAGACGTCTCGCATACCTCGCCAGTCCAAGCAGAAGCAACAGGTTCCCGGACCTAGCTCTGCCCCTCCACCTCGCGACCCTCCTGCTCAATCCCCGGGTGCTTCGCATGAGCCAATCGCTCCTGAAGCCTCTGACCAGCGGTCTGAACATGACGCTGATGAGTTACTTCTGGCACAGCTATGCCGGGAAGGGGGAGTACCATTGATCAATTACCTGCTTCTGAAGGCTATTTCGCCTGAGGCAGATGATCCAGACACGTCCAATGTCAGAGAATGGACGTACCGCGATATCCTTCGCTTACCACCAGAGAAGCAGAAGGAATGGAGAGCTGCTTGCCACGAAGAATTGGATGCACTTCGTCGGCGCAGAGTCTTTGACTTGGTTGACCGCCCTAAAGGGCATAAAGTCATAAAATGTCGCTGGGTATTTGACGTCAAATCAGATGGACGTCGCAAAGCGAGATTAGTCGCTAAAGGCTTCTCGCAGGTTGAAGGCATAGACTTCGACCAAATATTCTCACCAGTTGTGCGCTTTGAGACAGTGCGCCTTATGCTCACGCTAGCAGCGCTTGAGGACTGGCACATATCTGGACTCGATGTGCGCAATGCCTATCTTTATGGCAAACTGGATGAGGAAATTTATATGGAACAACCTGAAGGCTTCGCCGTAAAAGGCCAGGAGCACAAGGTTTGTAGACTGCGCCGTGCACTCTACGGACTTAAGCAAGCGGGGCTTGCCTGGTGGCGCACACTTGCTGAGTCTTTGGAGAAATTAGGCTGCAAACGTCTAACTACCGATGCTGGCATCTTCTTATTCAAGGAGAAGGATGGCCACATGGTAATTATTGTCGTCTACGTTGACGATGCCTTGTTCTTTGGCAAGGACAAGTCTCTCGTGACAGATGTTAAGTCACGATTCATGAAGAAGTGGGAATGCAGGGACCTTGGCGATGTCAAGGAATTCCTACGCATGCGCATTACAAGGCAAGGCCGAGAGATTCATCTCGATCAGATCGCCTACCTTGATAAAGTGCTGCAGCGTTGTGGCATGCAGAATGCAAAATCTGCGCCAACTCCTCTCCCTGCAGGCTATCGACCTGAACCTCACAATGGCCCGGTCAATCCTACTCTTCGTAGCCGGTTCCAAACTGTGATCGGTTCCTTGCTCTATATTATGCTTGGAACTCGACCGGATATCAGCTATGCAGTTACCAAGTTAGCGCAATTTGCTGCTAATCCATCTCAAGCCCATTTAGATAAAGCGCTGTATATCTGCCGCTATCTAATCGGGACTCGTAATTACACACTAGCTTTTGATGGTGCTAGTGGACTTGGTATTACTGCGTGCACTGATTCGGACTGGGCATCAGACCCCAGTACCAGGAAGTCCCAAACCGGTTACTTCCTTAAATTAGCCAATGGCATATTCAGTTGGCAGTCGAGAGCGCAGAAAACTGTTGCGCTATCCTCCACTGAAGCCGAGTACATGGCGCTCAGTGATTGTAGCTGCCAATGTGTATGGGTTAGACAACTCTTTGATGAGTTAGGCTACCAACTCGGCCCCATTCCTATTTGCTGTGACAACCAAGGATCTATATTCCTTGCATCTAATCCTGTCACCGAGCGAAGGTCTAAACACATTGACATTCGCTATCACTATATCAGGGAAGTCATCGAGCAGAAGAAAGTTGAAGTATTCTACATCAATGGCGAGAATAACCCTGCAGACATGTTCACTAAAAACTTAGGACATGTCAAGTTCCTGCGCTTCAGAGCGCAACTCGGACTTAGGTTCTACAAGTAATCTAAGTCAGCCCAACGCTTGCGTGCGCGATTATCCGCGGCACTTAGCGAGGGGGAGTGTTGAACTAGGCGCTGACTTAGCTGCCAGGTTCTACAACGTACCAGAACGTACCGGAACCCTCTGGAACATTCTGGTATATTCCATTATTGTACAAGGGCACGGAGCTCATGTGGGTCAGTGACATCATAGGTGGAGCTCAGTAGGATTAGAGATATTCCACGTAGCTTAGTCAGCCTATGGGCCACAGTGCATATAAACCCTGCAGCTCTGCTGCCTAATGACAAGGGTCGTTTATACGAGCTTTACCAGTAGCTACAGCATCCAAGCAATACAGGTGAGTTGTGTAGGGCGCACTGTGCATGCTGCTGCCTCCATAACTCTTCATCATGATCAAGGTGAGATCATATTTGTTCCAGCATTAAAGAAAGGATTTAATGGTAGTAGGGCATAGTCATGCTTCCAAGAGCACAAGTCGGGCCAAGATCGATGTCTATAATATTCAATCTGGTGTCTACATTCATGCCCCATATCCTGACATTGTATTGATCATAATTTATAGCTGGAAATGACATCATGTTAAAGAATTTACTTGACAGTGCTGAGCTTGAGTTGGGATATGAGACAGAAGAAGAAGAAGTAGATAAAGAAGAGGTAGATGACTCTGAAATTGACTGTTTGTGTCCCATTTCAATATCATTATCAGTCTGATCTTCAAGATTATAGGGGACAGTTTCTCTGCCACGTCCATTGAGACCAAGGCAGAAGACAATCGGATCGAAGTGATACCGGACTTTGTCATGGCACGTTTGATTGTTGCTCAACTCAAGCCAACTGAAACTGAAGACAACACACAATCACATGCTGGTCCTCCTGAAGTAGACTCCAAGCGAGAAATTGCCACCCAACAAGAAGCTGATCCAGATCTGGAGGCCAAGACTCCCCATCTTGCAGGAGCACATATTCTGTATGATGGCAGGCTGCTTATGCAACGGACAATCTTCCTGATGGAGGAGGACAAGAGAGGCCCTTCTCGCAAGAACTACCACCCAAGTCATAGACAAGAACTTGCGCACGAATGTGACAACTATCTCAGGCAAGCAGAGAAGAAGCTTCTTCTTTACATGTTCATCTACTTCTATTTGGTTGATGACCATGCAGTGAGCATGGTGTGCCGTTCAGTTTCTGGTGCTTTCTGGCATTGGACGGAGTTCCACCGCAGCAAAATCCCACTTCATTCCTTCCCCACCACCAATGCTGCACTCTCAGTGGCAAGCATCCTATCGGAGAAGAAGAAGTATCAGAACTTTTGTGCAAAATGGGATGACCAGCCTGTGTTTGAGGTGGGGACAAAGGAGTCAGATGCTGCACTAACAGGGATGATGAAGATTGTGTTCACTAACATCAAGAAGTATTCTCCAAGGAAGCGGGAGGGTGCAACACTTCTTTACTAGAGTGTATTATTACTGTAATGTAGCCAGAGGCAGCTTGAGGGATGAATCATGTACTTTTAGCAACACATTCAAGTTCCTCATATTGCATCCGAACAAACTGATGGACTACAGCTACATTTCTATCTCAGTATCACACATCTCATAACATTCTGCCATCTCACGTTGGGAACGTGCCGAGGGTGAATAGTGTCTGCTTTTGTTTGCCCTTGCCCTTCTTCCTCCCTCCCCCGCCGTCATTCCTAGACCCCACCACCTCCCCATTCGGTTCCTGTTCATCACGCGAATGCCCGACCTCCGACGACCCATTGGACACCGGCTGCGCCGCACTCGCACTCGCCGCTCCCCAGACATTCCCAGCGGGCTGGCTAGGCTTCCCCAGGATATTCTTCAACGACTGGTTACCACCCACAGGGGCCCTGACCGGCTTGTTATTGCTCGTGCTTGGCAGCTCGGGGAACGCGGATTTCGACAAGGAAGGCGGCGGTGGTCCTTTGGCCTTGGAGCTTCCGCGGCTCACCGCAGGGCGGGGGACGACGGACACCGACGAGGGCGGCGGGAAGTGCGAGGACGACGACGGCCCCGCGGAAGCGGCCGTGGAAGCCCAGGGCGTGCTCCGCTGCGGCTGGCGGTACGCGGGGACCGGGGCTGGCGCGGAGGCTTGCGGGTTGAGCGGCGGAAAGCGATCTGCGGGGCGCTGGCGCGAGGGACCCGGGACTGAAGACGAAGCGGCGGCCTGCGCGACGCGGTCCCAGACGTGCCGGGACGAGGAGGCGGAGGAGGAGCGCGTCGCGGTGGAGTGCTTCGCGTTCAGGACGCGGCCGGCGGTTATACCTGCGTACTCGTTGCCCTGGGATGTAGGCACTAAGTCAGGGAAGTTCTTGCGTTGCTATACGTTGCGGTAGGTGAGTAGACGGTCGTAACATGCATGATTCCAACTAAACGAAAGCGCACCTCCAGCTTGAACCCGTTCCACGCCGCGAGCAGGTCGCGCTTCTTCTCGTCCTCGTCGAGGAGGTCGACGAGCGCGTTGATGATGCTCGCCGTGTTGTCCAGATCGCGGTCAAGCACGTTCCAGATCGTCGAGATGAGGTCGCGCGCTGCGGACTCGGACGCGCGGTACGACCGGATCGCGGCCTTCACGCCCGGCACGATGTTCGCGTTGTTCGGCGCGACGGAGACGAGGCGAGCGACGAAGGACGCGTGGCGCCTGCAAATATTTAAACAGAGCAGCATTTGAAAGAGAGATGAAGCTTACTCGGCAACTTCAGGATCGACGTCGTCGCGCACGGGCGACGGGGACGGACGCCGGGAGGGCTCGGGCGTATTATGCGACGTCCCATTGGCACTGGCGCTGGGATTCGCCTCCGTCGACAAATGCGCACCGAACCCCTCCCGGCGCCTCCCACCGCCACCAGGTCGCGCCGGGCCAGGCTGTGGCGGTGGCTCCCCGCGATCTCCCCTATCTCTATCTCTATTGCGCCCACCCCTGCGTCCCCCACCGCCCCCTCCGCTACCACCGCCCGCATCGAAAGCAAAGTCCGCTTGGACGCGCAGCGCGTCCCGCTTGTCGCGCGCGGACATGTCCGCGCCGTGCTCCTCGACCATGTGCGCCTTGAGGTCGAGCGCGGAGCCGAAGACGACGAACTTGCGTGCCTGGCACTGCGCGTTGGGGCACGGAAAGTGTGCGTTGGTGAAGTGCTGTTCCTACATCCCCCGATCATGTCAGATGTGGGTTGAGGGGCGACGTGTGGGAGGCGACGTACTAGTGCTTCGTAATTCTGGAAACTACGAGCCATGGTTAAATAGATGAGTAGGCACAAGGAAGGAAAGATACTGACTATTGGTCCCGGATCTCGTTGCGCTTGCAGATGAAACACTCTTCGTGCCGCTCGCGCATATGCGCGTAGAGCTCGTCGTCGCTGAAGAAGCACTCGCGGCAAAACGCGCACAGCGGGTGCACGCCGCCCTCGATCTGCTCCTTCGGCGGCGGGGGCTTGCGCGAACGGTGGTGGGCCATGGATGGGAGGTGGTATGGTAGCAGCCAAGGCGGATAGAGCGCTTGTTCGTGCGCGAAGACTTTCTTGTGCCGGATACACAGGTCGCTATATGCGTTCCGTCGCGATCAGCTTTGGAGTGAGATCTGGGAAAGGGAGAGGGACAGACCACATGACTTTGCCGTGCGCTTCGCGGACGTGTAACTTGAGATCGCCCCAGCCGGCCACGGCTATGTAGTCGCATTTAGAGTCGGGGCAGTTGAAGCGGAGGAGGATAAGCGTCTCCTCCATCATCTCCTGTGTCTCGAAGAATATGGACAGTTTAGGGTCCTTATAGGGAATAGCATCCGGAGAGTACGACGAGAACGGTGCATCGGGCGAGATTGTGAATATCACGGATTGCTGAGGTTCCTGTATGCATTCATTAGCCACATCGAGGCACAGGTGAATACAAACGAGCACTCGCCTTGCAGAAAGTACATTCGAGCTTCTTGTATAGCGCGCGCAGGCGCAGGGCGCAGACATGGCACGTCCGGTGGTTGCACTCGGACACGGACCAGTACTTGACCGGCTCGGCGCATATCCAGCAGATCGCGCCCTCCTCTGCGTCCGCCGTCTTCTCCGCCGCCGCGCCGTCTTCAGCGCTTTCCTGGGCGGCCTCCACAGCCTTTCCTTCCTCCGGCTTAGGCGACGTAGGCGGCCCACCCCGCCCCCTGCCCATCCCGCCGTTCACGTTCTTTGGCGTCCCCCGGGCGGGGCGCCGCGCGCGGTTGACCCGCCTGGCGCGGGGCTGTTGCTGGTTGGTCTCTGTGGTCGTCGTTTGTGTAGAAGACATTGCGATCGTCGGTGTCGGATTCGTTGATAGTTATGTGTATGAGTGCAAGATATACGAAAGAGCCAAGGGCGAGCTGCAGCTGCAGTCAGCGCGTAAAACGCTTCGGTTCCGCGTCTTACATATCTCCGCCAAAAAAGGAAGGTATTTAAGAACGCGAGGGGGACGCGTTGTAGCTAAGTGAACGTTGCGGCAAGTATCATTGTCCTGCGCTATACCCGGAAATGAATAATGAGTCCTAATTACTACTCTACATCAGTCTGTCCATTAGAGTCAGAGTCAGAGCCCTCAGTCTCCGTCTCCGCCTCCGACTCAGCCGCACTCTCCCCCCCGAATCGCCCCGTCGAACCGCCCCGCTGATGCTGACCTGGACGCTGATTCACCGGGGGGAGCACTACCGACGAGCTGCGTGACCCAAGCCCGAGCGCATAGAGCCCCGTCAGCCCAGACGTCGTACGCACCCTCGTCGTTGGCGGCTGGCCCAGCCCCATCCGCGGTGGGGCAGTATTGACGTTGCCCAAATACGAAGGCAGATGCGACGGCATAGGAATGCGCAGACCCAGCCCCGCGAACGGGTCCTCCGCCTGCAAATGCGTATAGCTCGACGTATGCCGCAGCCGCGGGCTCGTCATCACCGACCCGAACGTCGGCGCTGGACTCGAGGAGCGCGCCTGCCCGAGCAGGCCAGACGTCCAGTTCGCCCAGCCGGTGGGCGACGCAGAGGTTTCGGGCGGAGTGGATATGAGTTCAAGCTCGTGCGCCGCGCGCTTCAACACGGCGATGTCATGCTGTAGGTCCTCCAGCTTCCTCGCAAACTGTTCTCTATCCCTCCTCGCAGTCTGCCCGCTGCCCTCCACAAACTCCCTGACATCCTTCTCAACCGCCTCCCGCTCGCCCTCCCCCGCAATCGCGCCCGGGACGGTGAGCAGCGTCTCGTACCCGCGGACGACGCGCTCCTCGTCCGCGACGCGGATCTCGAGCTCGACGCGGGTGTCTTCGTTGTAGTCGTCGAGCCGCTCCAGCGCAGTGCGCAAGACCGGGAGGGACGGGGACGGGGAGGTCGCAGTGGAGGACAAAGTGGCTTTGAGCTCCCTGAGTGCCTGGTGGCATTCACGGAAGGCGCGCTGGAGGTCGTCATAGCGGTCTTTCACCCTGAGGAGCTCGGTGAGGGCTGATTGGTCTGCGGGAGGGGATGAGGGAGGTGGAGTAGGAACTGCGACCTGTGTAGGGAACTGAACTTTCTCCAAAAAGGGCTCCTCTGCCACAGGAGAGCTGACAGGCGAAGGCTCTGGGGCAGAAATCGCGGGGTTAACCGTAATATCCAGCGCTTTCGGAATATCATTACTCTCCTCTGACGACGGGAAGACCACACTGTCAGCCGGTGCAGGTAACAGCACAGAGGAGACCTCCTGCGGCACAACGTCGGGCTCCTTGAGCCCAAGTAGATTGCTCGACTCAGGTAAGGTTGAAGTATCCTCCATACTTGGGGGCGGTGGGGTCTGTACTAGAGTAGATGACTGGTCAGAGACAGACGAGGAAGACGGGACGAGGTCTGGTGTAGCCTCGGACGGTTCCTGGTCCATCACACTGGCTAGAGTCGCAGGAGTGGCGGGTATACTCTGGGAGACTTCTACAACGGCCGGAGGAACAGAGGTATCAGTGTCGTCTGGCTGTGGTTGGACGGGTCCGTCAGCAACGGTAGGCAACGAAAGGAGCTTGGGAGTCGTGGGTGAGTCCACGGTAACTTGAACACTTCTAGGCGCGTCCACCAGCTTTTCCGCCTCTTCTTCATGCTTAGGCGGGGGAGGCGGAGGGGGTGGCGACACCCCCCGATCCCGCACTTCCTGGACAGCTAACCCAGCGCTCTCCAGCCCAACCCTCGACTCATCCGCAACCGCTTTCGCGGCCTTCCTCTCCGCTTTCAATCTCCTCTCCGTCTCCACCTGCAGCTCCCTCACCATAGTATTCACCGCATCCTGTGCAGCCAAAATGCGCGCCACGCTCGCCGGTGTCACCTCCTCCAGCTGGGGCGAGCCATCCACCGAATCCAGCAGTGCCGCCGCGCTCCTCAGGATCTTGTCAAACGCCCCCTCCACCTGTCCCGGGTCCGCAAGCGCCGTGCGCGCGAGGAGCTCCTGCGTCCTTCTCGACCAGCGCTTCAGCCCCTCGACGATGCTCTCCTCGCGGCTGAGCAGCGCAAGCCGCAGCGCGACTTCCCGGCGCCGCCCGTAGGTCTCGCGCGAGATGTCCTCCGACAGCTCGTCCAGCGCGGCGCGCAGCCGCGAGGTTTGGCGTTTCTCGTCTAGCAGGCATTTACGCAGGGTTTGTAGTTCGAGGTCCATGGAGGATAGGGTTGCGGCGTGCCGCGCTTTGAGGTTCGAGAGCGCAGTTTGGAGGTTGTCGGTGGTTGCTTGGGAGAACTTCCTGTAGAATACGAGTTAGTACGATATATGCACAGGAAGGGAGATGCGTACATGTATCGCGAGACTACTTTCGCTGCGGCATTGTCGTCGGCTTTGAGCCTGTCTAGTTCGGCGCGTGCTCGAGCCAGAGCGGCGCGGTCATCTGCCCCTCCCTTGTGTTCTGCTTTCAGCTTGGCCTCCGCAAGACTCAGCTGCCCGTGCAGCCTCTGCACCTCCGCCTCCAGCCGCTCGTTCTCCGCGTAGAACTCGCTGAGCAATTTGTGCAGCCCGGACTTGCCCTCCGACAGCGACTCGACGAGTGTGACCGACGAGCTGGAGGCCACGCTCCCGCCCCCGTCGTCGGATGCCACGCGTCTCTGCGCACGAGGAGACGTCACGGAGCTCTTGCGACCCTCGAGCGCGCGCACGAGGTCGGCATACTCCTGCACGACGAGATCCGTCATCCGCCGCTCCTCCTCCGCCGCCCGCACTCTCCTCTCCAGCTCGCGCTCCCTCGCCTTCCCCTCCTCCTGCCTCGCGCGCCCCGTCGCGGCAAGCTCGTACGCCGCCTCCGCATCGTGCCGCGCCCTCGCCGCCTCGGCCTGTGCGTCCGCGAGCTCAGCTGTGCGTTCGAGGAGCATCTCCTCGGTCGCAGTGAGCTTGTCGGAGAGCCGCCGCAGGGAGAGCGTGAGCTCGTTCGCGTGCAGCGCCGCGGGGTGCGGGGCGGCGTCGGGATGCGCGCGCAATGTCGCTAGCTCTTCGCGCAGTGTGGCATTTTCGCGCTCGAGGATGTGCGCGCGTTCGAGTGCGTGGGCGGTCTCGAGCGAGTGCCGCTGGAGCTTGACTGAGGATGCGTGGGCTTCGTGCTGCGTTCATGAATCGTTAGAGCATTCCTTTATGACTGTATCACCGAAATAGGTTTACGAAGGAAACTTAAGCCTCGTGTACCTTACTACCCAGTGAAATGTGCCCCCGCTCCCTAAACATGCATCGTATTACTCACCTGGTACCGGCTGATCGCCGCACGCAGACTCGCTAATTCCAAGGCCAAAGGGTGGTCATCGTTAATTTGGAGCTCTATAGCACTCATAGCTGCATCCTATTATTTGACCCCCGTGTATCTGCAGTCCACAATAGATTCAGAAATGGATAAAATTCAGAGAAATAGCACCTACCACGTAGCGGATTAGGGGGCAAATGGCCGCAGCTGTCAATGAAAGGTCGGACCGGCGGTTCGTGCATAGTTCGCCTTCAGAACGCGAAGCTCGCACGGTTTGATCAAAGTTCGGACGATCGGCTCTCGATGTAAGGACCGTGACGGCGGTCACGTCACCGCCAAATGTCCCTTCTGCGCGCATTTCGACCGTCGTGCCTCCGTCCGCTGTGTAAGACGCGCTCGTACGCTACAAAAGCGGCTACAAAGCCAGCGGCAGCAGAGCCAGAACGTGAGCGGGTTGATTTAAACACTAAACATGCGAATAAAGTTTGATGTGGATTGTGCACAGCAAAATCCTCATGTCCTCCTAACACCGTCTTGGTCGGCGTAAACTACCTGAAGGACCAGCCGCCAGTGCTCGCCCTACCCGACGAGGAATACCCGGATTGGCTGTGGAAGCTCTTGGAGAAGAAGGAGCTGCCGTACGATGGGCCCGGGGGCAAGGCGGAGAAGGTCCGGCTACGGAAGGAGAACAGGCAGCGGATACGGGAGCAAAATTTCTTGAAGACTCAGTAGAGCAAGGATTTGCACCGCCATATAGCTACCGGGTGAGCTGCCTGTGGCTGGAAGTGAACCACCGACTCATTAGTATGCATTTGCATTTTAGGCTCTGTTAGTGGGTATAGCCGAGGACCTAGAGGCCACCGCGCGACATGCGTAGATATGGCACCGCAGCTCAGGACGATGATCCTTACATAGGGGTCCCCCGGGAGGGGGGCAGAGGATGCATCGTGTACCGTCGAAGACGCGAATTGCCTTGCGTGTTTCATCCTCATGGAAATATAATTTACAGTTTTGCCGAAGTACAACGTCAGTAGATCACAGCAAATACAAATCACAGCAAACATCACAGCACACCCTACAACTTTGCAAACACCTCTCTCCCATGTCTAATCCTCACCACCACCTTCCCGAAATGCGCGCCTGCCTTGATAAGATCGAACCCCTCTTGTGCGTTCTCCAGCCCATCAATGACATGCGACACGGTCGGCACAATGCGATGCTCTGCCATGAACTTCGTCGCCTCGACGATGTCCCGGTGTGATCCCATCGTCGATCCTGACACCCCTGGTGAGCTGCCTGCGCGCGGTAAGGCAATGCAACGGAAATAGTACCTATTAATTGTTGGTTCTTGAGCACTTCCCGCATGGTGAATGTGATCTTCGGCACGGCCGTCCTGCGTTCCATTCCCTCTCAGCGGATAATGCGGACCAAAGCAATGAGACGTACATTCCGTAGCAAACGACTCGCCCGCCAGCCTTCAGGATCTTATTCGTCGAAGTCATGATCTCACCGCCGCCAGAATCGACGATGACGTCGAGCAGCGGCTTGTCCTTAGACGTCGCCTTCAGCGCTTTGCCGAGCTGCGCCGCCCAATCCGCTTCGAGTCCGACAAAGCGGTATGTCCAATGTCAAACAGCGTCATGATGATAACTGACGCGTACCATCTTTGTAGTTGAATCCGGCTGTGGCGCCCATCTTGACCGCACTGTCGATCTTCTCCTTGCCCCCGCTCGTGACGTACACCTTCGCGCCCTTGGCGAGGCAGAGCTGCATAGCAACGAGCGCGACGCCCCCGCCTATCCCCGTGATCAGGACGTTGTCGCCCGCTTTCACTCTGCCGTTTACGATCGCGGCTCTGCATTAAAAAAATCAGCCATGTAGTGAAGTGAGGGATGTGGAACATATGGAGCCTACCTCCATGCTGTCGTGCCCGCCACGGGCCACGCAGCCAAGTGCTCGTCGTCTACATGTTCCGGGCTCCGAACGACCTGATCGCGCTCTACGATCACATATTCCGAGAAGGTCCCCAGCGGAATCTTGGCTGAGCCTCCGATGATAACTAGACTGCATGAAACTTTCTTTTAGTTCCGATACATACGCAGATTGACCCCGCACTTACTCTGGTGATTCCGGGGCATCGGGATCCTTCTCCCACCCTCGCATGGGCACGAGGAACACTCTCTTACGAATCAACGGGTCGTTCGCGTCTGCCGCCCCTATCACAGTGCCTGCAATTCTCGTTAATCTTTCCCTTCCTGCTACCCCTCGAGTACGCGCTCACCTGCACCGTCCGCGCCGAACGGGCTGCCTTCTCCGATGGCTGGGTATTTGCCCAGCCGAATCCATTGCTACATATGCATACGCTACGTGAGCGACGTCTGCTCAGCCCTACGGCCAATCCTACTGACATCACGATGGTTGAACGACACGGCATTGATCTTGACGAGTAGCTCGCCCTTCTTCAGCGGGCGCAGGTCCTGCTCCTCGAGCCTCGCGTCGTACAGACGCGCCTTTCCCTGCGAAGAACGCGCAGGTCTAACAAGTAAAGCCCTCGTCGTCGTCGGCAGCTTCGAGCTCATCGCGGTGAGATGTCGAACTCGAAGTTGAAGCCCGAGGGGCGTACAGCCCGAGCTCGAGCACTGAGTGCGGGGCAACGGCGGTACCCGGTACCCGGCCACGCGAGACTGCCTTTTCGGTCGATTATAGCAGATCTACCCGAGATCCGGTGGTCCTGCTTCTTTGAGGCGTTCTGCCATTTCTTGAGGCACTTTTTCATGGGACGCGAACTCCGTCCACGAAAATCCCGGCCGAGCTATGCAGCCCTTCTTCGGCTAGAGGGGGATGAGGCTGGACCGTCCATGTCTGCGCGGGAATTGGAAGAGGCCGAGGGGGACAGCGAGAGCGACTTTGCGCCCGACATTGCCGTGCAGTCGGCCGCCGAGGACGAAGACGAAGACGATGCGGACGCCGACGAGCTTGACGAAGAGGACGCTCCTGCGAAAGCGGAATCCCCCACCCCCGTATCCCGGCCAGCTACAAAACGCAAACCTCAGGAGCAAACACGGAATGCAAAGGGCAAAGGCAAAGAGGTAGGCACGAAGTTCGCCATCGAGCCCCGCCCGCGCGCGACCGTTCAGCTCGCACCGGGGCTTTCGCGCCCGCTGAACAGGCAGATGTACGCGCTCCCAATGCCCAGCTCGAACCACCGGCACCGCGCTGCGCCCATCTTCAGGCGGCAGGGTAACGTCGAGAGGTTGCTCAGTCCCCCAAAGTTGTTCTCAGCGCCAAGCGTTACTTCCTCGCCGAACTTTACTGCGCACCCTGCTGTGATGAACCGGCTGGGGAAGGCGTGGGGGTTTAATGTGGGCCCTGGGCCTTTGTGGGATTTGATGGAGGATAGGGCATGGTATAAGGAGGCTGTCTGTGGCACTGAGAACGAGGAGTGGGAGGGAAACAGAAGGCCGAGGGTATTTTTCGATCTCGCCATGCCCGTGGGCATGCGCCTTCTTACTCGAGAGTGGGTGTATGCGCACCGCATTATCTAGCATTCGCTCATTAAAATTGCAGAGAAGCGTCTGCGTACTTGCCTTCAGACGTCGTCACCACCGAAGAAGGCGACCTCCGCCCGCCTCCTCCCGTTCGCTGCTTCTTCGGGCCCTACGGTAAACAGACGAAGCACGAGATGAACATATTCGATACACTGAGAATATGTGGGTGCGCTTCCCCTATATCTTGGATTAGACGACGAAACAGAATGTGATAGCAGAACATATCCCGGGGAGTAAAGCACATGTCTTCAACGCGGGCGCACCGGTCTGGGGACTGGACTGGTGCCCCATTCACGCGGACGACCGACCTCGTAAGTCCTACACCGCGAAACGGAATACAGCACCAATAACGCTCTTTATAAATGTGTGATATCCAGACCGGTCATATAAACAATACCTCGCCGCCGCACCCTTTCCCTCCCGCTCGCACTCACCCGACATCGGCGCGAAAGTATCAAGACCCTCCTACGCGTGCATACAAATCTGGTCGTTGAGTCCACCAGAGGACGTGGAGATGGTCGACGCGACAGCTGCTCCGCCGGGAGATGATGACTTTGACCCGGGTCATATGCGTTGCGAGATGGTGCTGTGCGTTGAGTCTGGGCCCGCGCACGAGCTCAAGTGGTGTCCCCTTCCTTCACACGATAGCGTGAGTTCATAGGCTTTCTCAAGGTTAAAATTTTCCAACGGTGGATGTGTAGCTTGCGAGGAAGGACAGGGATAACGGCCAGCGGAAGTTGGGTTTACTTGCAGGCACGTTCGAGGACGGCTCCTTGTCAATATACGCAGTGCCCGATCCCGACTCCACCCCCGCAAACAGCGATGCCAATCAACCAAAGTTCGGTAGGAATGCTGTATATACGGTCGAGTCCGTCCGGCTCATCTTGTACAACAGTTCATATTTCAGAACCTTTCCTTCTGATTGAGCTAGAGGAGACTTCGTGTATGACCCTCGACTGGGCAAATAGCGAGATCATAGCCGTGGGCTGCACCAATGGTCAGACCTTCTAGGCTGTGACAGTCATTGGCTGACATAGACCTTAGGTTCTATCGCCGTATATAATGTCGGGGAAGCCATCCGACAAGGTGTCCGCTCCAGTGAGTCTTATCCCCGTCACACCGCCATGCATTCCTGTACTAAGTGCGACGTTATTATGATACAGACCTCCTTCCGATATATTACATGTCAATCCACCAGTCCGCCATCCGGGGATTGTCGTGGGTCCGCGTACCGCCCGCCTCGACTTCAGGCGCGCCGCTTACGGGGGAAGACCCAACGGTCATCGCCAGCGGGGGGTACGACGGGCTCGAGTGTCTCACGGACATACGCGACCCGCACGGGAACGTGTTCAACCGCACGCGAGGTTCGTAATCTCCCATTCCATCTCAGCTGACCAGGAATTCTGAGAAGGCTTTGGGTAGATGTGATCAATTGCATAACGTACTCGACCTATGCCGGAGGTGTCATCACGATCGACCACGAGAATATCGTCAAGGTATACCAGACTGCGCCGAGCATGCTCGGGCGGGGGCATACCCTCATCGAGCCCGGCGGGCCTGTTTGGGTATGTAGCTTTGGCTATAGTGTCGTAGGTGGGATAGAGGAGCCTCATGATCGTATGGGCAGGGCGTCAATGTATCGGACTATCACACGCAGCTCGCGGTTGCCTGCGCGGATGGTGCATGCTCGACGACGAACACACTTAGGCCTACGAGGAGGGGCGGCGCGGTGGTTGGTGGCTCTGGCTGTTTTGGGTAGTTTGACCGCTCTGACACACTCGCAGCCGTTTTTCATATACAAAATCTACCAGTTGGATTTCAGTCGCAAAACAGGCGAGTATAGGATGCTCGAACAGTTCCTACCGCAGGTGAAAAGCTCGCATACTAGCTGTCGATCGCGATGCTGATGTCTATACGTATAGGAGACCCAAGACAGGCCAACCGCGACGCGTGCCCAGCGGCAAGGTCAGTCCGTGCAGGTGATCCCCGTCGGGACGGGCGTCTGGCCTGCGGAAGTGGGTGTCCAGCGGGTGGTCTGGAACAGCGGCAATGGGCTTGCGAATGCACCTCTGTTGGCGTCCTCGACGGGTTCGGGTTTGTGCCGGGTTGACTGGCTCATGGGGAGGTGGATGAAGGATAAGGTGCCGTATGGGGGTGTGGAGGCTATGAGGGAGGCTGCTCATGTGGATGAGGATGATGATGACAATGACGAATAAGTATGTCTGCTTTGATAGGTCCTTGATCCAATTTTTCATCTTACACTACTTATTCCATGTCTGGTCTCACTTCACTGGAACAACAAGAAACTCCATTTCCCTAAGTGTTCCTGACATGGATGCAGGAGCTTGAATTCGTTGCTATTGTACACAAGATCACTATTCATCTTAACTTGCTAATCATAGTAAAGTGTTGCCCCCTCAATCCTCTTGGGAGAATGCTTCTTTATGTTTTCAAATACCTTCTTTATCATCCTTGTCAGTGCAGCATCTGACTCTTTTGTGCCCACCTCAAATACAGGCTGATCCCTCCACTTCATGCTATAGTCCTTCTCCTTCTTCACCTCAGATGGGACACGCAGGAGTGAAAGTGCAGATCTTGGGGTGGGAAAGAAATACAATGGAATCTCACTCCTGTGGAACTCTGCCCAATGCCAGAATGCACCAGGCACTGCATGGCAAACCATGCTCACTGCTTGCTCATCAACAATATTGAAGTAGATGAACATATACAGAAGCAGGTCATCCTGTGCCTTGTTGAACTGGGAAGTGTAGGAGTTGATGAGTTCAGCTTCATGCCCTGGCTGATAAAATTTACGAGAAGGACCCCTCTTGTCCTCCTCCATCAGGAAGATTGCTTGATGCAGAAGGAACTGGCCATTGTATAGGATGGATGCTTTCTCAAAATGACTGATTTGTGCCTGCTTCTGTATGTTGGCTTGTTGCTCTTGCTCTTTGGGAGTTTCCTGCTTGGGGTTTGTGCTGGCTGGACCAGCAGGTGGGTTGGTCTGAGTATTGAGGGCCACTGGTTCCAAAAGGGCAACAATGGAGTAGGTCATGATGAAGTCAGGTATGACATCAACTGGGTCATCATCTGGTTTGGTTTCAGCAGAAGTGGCTGAGAAGCTGTCCCCTATAATTCCAAATACCAGGTTATAAGCCTTTCTTACTGAAAGCAGCAAACATACAGTTGACATTAGGATCCTCAGCTTCAGCTTCATCATCATCTGTCTCACATCCCTGCTCAAATTCAGGATGACCATACATTGCCTCCAACCGGATTTCACCCTTGGCTGTCAATTTCAATCAATGTAAGTAATCGCCAGAGAAAACGACTCAAGGCGGTGAATACCAGCTTTTACTTGGCTTGCCTGAGCTTGGTGCTTTTGTGCCTTGGAAGTACGACCAGGTTGTTGACAACCTGCTACCCATGGAGAAATGCTCTCAGAAGCAATGAAGCCAATGTGAGCTCACATTCAAGGACATTGCCAGAGGGCCCCTTTGCAAGGAGTGTATCTTTGAGTTTGTTTGTCACAGCCACTTGTGAAACATTGTTAGTCCCCAAGCATGACCCACGGTGTGAAGCAGACACAAACCAGCCTCTGAACGCTTGCATGAGATGACTTGCTGTGGATGGGTCTGCAGCCTCGAGCATGGCTGATCAAGGGTGTGTAAAATAAGGCTCCGTGTTCCATAAACATGTCCCTCTAGGTTCCTTGGGTTATAGCGATAGGACAGGAAGTTGAGCTTGGAAAGATCAACTTCAAAGTTGGACTTATATGGTTGTATGGGTTCGATGTCCGACAGGTGAAGGTTGACTGGCGCCATCGCAGGTAAGGCCAACTGAGATGACGGGAGGAAATCCGTACGAGAGACTCAAGCGAGATGATATCGTATTCTCATCGATAGGCTGAGCGCCACTTTATGTGATGCGATGTCACTGTCATGTCCTCAACACCGAACGCGTCTGCTCGCCACTTAGAGCTCAGTGAAATACCCTGAGTTGTTGGCAGCGGTTAATAACAAGCTGTAATTAACAGGTTAATTACTTGTCAATATCTCAGGGTCGGATTTCCCTTGGTTAATTACCCTGAACCGGGTATTCGGGATATGGTTGTCCAAGGAGACTCTGGGCAGTGTCGGGGTGTATCTGGTGTTTCGTGAGCGACTACAAGCCACTCTACGGAGGACGAGACAGTTATGCCACCTACTATCCAGGCAATGACGTTATTTTCGTCGTGTGCTAAGCCTGGTCTCTCACGCTGCTCGATAACTTGTTCCTCACAGTACTGCTCCTACGAAGGCTTTCAAGTGCTCCAAAGAGAACATGTCTCTACATTTATTGAGGCCTTAGGGATGTGTTTTACGAGCACCGACTCGAATGTACTGTCGAGGACAAATGTGGCCTTTCGGTTATTGACAATGTTAATTACATGTTAATAACTACAATTTTTGTTAATAACGTTGATAACGCTGTCGAGAACCCAGCGGAGAGTAATTCACCGAGCTCTAGCTCTCGACGCCACTCTACCACATCTATTGGACCTACTCTTCTCCCTCCGAGCCTTCCTGGAGGCAGAAACGCCCTCGTTCATCCCGCTACGTATTGGGTTTCCTGCTCACCGATGAAGTAGCTGCGAGAGCATGCGAGACGCACGACCTATCCCCTGAGGAATATAAAGATAGCCATATTATACGTCGCTGGGTCGTCGGGGAGCTCACCGAAAAATACCACCTGCCGAACCGCTGGATCAACTCGCCCGCGCTCGTGTACAAAGACCGCACGCACTCCACGCTGCGGAATGTCGTCGCGCTCGTGGACCTTCGGTCGGCGGATCCCAGCGAGCGCGGACCCCCGAGCGTAGAGATGGTAGAGCAGATTGCGGACGAGCTCAAGCTCGAGGGCGAGGCTCGCGAGCCGCGCTGGTATCTGCTCGCCGAGTAGGACTAGGCGTGTGGTGCATCGATATCGATGTCCTGTGGCGCACGGTAATTATCCGTTTCACGATAGAATGCTGCGTAGACTGACAAGTCCCGCGGAAAGGTACCCTTCATCTTCATAGTAACATCCTTGAAACGCCGAAGTCCTACTCCACGCCTTATTGTCGTACTTATTCCCCGTCATACCTCAATCCCTTCCCTACTGCGAACTGCGTAGCATGCCCCGACGCCTCGTCCATCGCAAATGTCCCTTTCGCCGATGATACTGTTGTCCTAAGTCCAAAGCTGGTACACAACGCGGTCGACCTCTGTTCGAACTTGGATTTGAGAGTCCTGCTGAACCATATCCCCCCGGCGCGTCTGTGTTAGCCTGCTACATATACATGTAAGATTGTACTTCTAGAGCTTTACAGCACTTGTAACGACCAGGCGGACCGCATAACAGAGACTTACATTCCACACCTTATGCTATATCTGGACAGAGAAGTGTCGATAGTCCGCCAATTGGTCTCGGGCTCCCAGCAAGGTAGAGAGCCTATTTTCGCGTCGAATTATGTCGCATGAGACATTCCGCACGCACGAATAACCCTAGAACTGGTAGGCCCTGCTTGTCTGGATTCGAGAGGCTCAGCGGGTATGGACCGAGACGGTCACTGCGAATGCTCAAGGCGCTGGTATGTAAGTGATATACATGCGGGTCTGACATGTACTGGAGCTTACTGCAGACTCTGAATGCAAGTCTCTGTTATGGGTTCCGTCTGGCAATTACAATGGCAAGTGCAGACAATACTCTGAAATCAAACGTACATACAGTTCGCATAACGGGCACCGGATGCACGGCAGCGAAGACAACGACATGTGAAGGTTGGGGAAGGTGGCCAGGATGGCATCAAGACAGCGGAAGGGCAAGCCATCTATTCCAGGGATTTTCGAGTCTGCGCAGAAAGCTGCCAGAAAATGGCGAGTTACCCTACGCCACAGGACATCGATACGCCAAGGCAATGAGAGGCCATGTACTGCGTTCGGTGCGAGACTTGAAGATCAGGACGGTGAAGCCACCGTAGCGAGCCGGCAGGGGGTACTTGGCGGCGAGAGAGCTGACGACTTCGCGCACAGCGGTAAAGTATCCCGGAGACTTCATCTGGCTTAGGTACTATACCGCCCTCCTCGCAAGCCGTCTGAGCAATCTCATCTGTGAACGGAAAATCCAAGACGTAGCGGAAGGAGCGTGGACACTTCGGTCGCCAGGTCCGTCGGGCTGCCAGTGGTGCGAAGCGGTGGACGCACACGACACTCTAGACACGGTCGTTGGCCGTCTCAGTGCTGGACCGTCCGGCAGTAATGCTTTCGGACTGTTGCAAGCTCCTGCGACGGGTAATAGGTTCAAACCCTAGAGTATTACTGATGTCGCGATGTTGGTCGCCTCACGTGCAGTACAGTGCCTTGCATAAGAAACTGAACATCGCATTTCCGCGCGCGTTGTTTGTTCGCGCCAAATATACCCTTTTCGGGTAGGTCCGGAAGGCCTCTCGCGGGACCATTTGTTAGGCAGGGACTCGCAGATGCCCCGAGAGGGCTCGAAAGGCTTCAGAGAATGATAGAAATGTATATTCTACAACTACAGTAAGGGCTGTAAATCATTATAGTCTTGCCCTAGCTGTATGCCCAGCTAACCCTCCCTCTCGATGGGTCTTTGCCGCACAT